CGCCCTTGGCCTCTTGCCGTCCATGTGCTTTCCCGCCACTAGAGCTTCGACTGTGATGTACTGATTCGCGCACTGGAGCATCTCGGGGATGGTTACTAGCGGCTTCTTGATCAGCGACCAGAAGAACCTTGAAGGTTTCAAGCCCATCAGAAATGCCTGCATGATTAAAGAGGGGTGAGCATCCGGGAATCCTTAGATTTCAGTGGTGAAACGTGCCACAAACTGAGAGAGCGACTCATCATTGTGCTGAAATAATGCGAGCAAGATGGCCATGGAAGGCCTGGGTCGCATGCTGGCGAGGAAATTCTGCTTGAACTCCCTAGTGAGCTAATCGAAGGACGCGATTGAGGAATGGCGTAGCCGGCTGAACCATGCTCGTGCTGGTCCCCTGAAGGTGGTCGAGAATGCCCGACACATCAGTGCATCGGAGGTGCCATAGAGGGTCATCTGAGCCCGAAATGCGACAACATGCTCCGTGAGGTCGGAGCCGTCGTCGTACGTCTCCAATGCTAGCAACCTGAAGTTGAGAGGTACAGGCTTGTCCTATATTTCCTGAGTAAAAGGGGATCCGCTCGAGCTGCCTTAGTTCGACTCACTCTGTGTTTTCTGAATCTCGCGCTGGAACTCGTCTAGGCGTTGGTTGACCCAGGACAGTTGGATCCTGAACTAGTCGTCCGCCGAGTCGGACGATATGGTGTCAGGCTCGGAGTGGGGCGGTGTGATTCGGCAGGGTGCAGGTATGCTCTGCTCGGGCGGACCTCTCGGGTCTATCGTTTGGTCTCGGGCTTCTCCCGTCCCGACCTGCTCCCTACTCGACCTTTGTTAGGTCGGGTCAGTCGGGAGAGTTGCTAGCCGCATGATCTCGGGAATGAGTGGGACGAGCGTGTGCATCATCCCCGCCATTGCTTGTACTTGCTTGGTCAGGCTGAGGAATGCCTCGGGCGACACGGCTGAGGGTCCTACGGTAAATCCAGGGGCGACCACCCCGGGTCATTAAACAGGCGCCAGTAGTGATCTGGCGTCGAGGCCGGGATCCCCCCATCTCTGGGGACGAGGATGGATTGATCTCTAGGCCCGACGGAGGGGTTACCGGTCGATGGTTCTCCTTCGGGAAGAGCTCCTGCGACATGACCCTTCTTCTAGGCCCTCGCGACGGGATATTGATAAGCGTTTCTCGGTCCGGGCATTGTCAGTGTTGAGCAGCGTCTCTCCGTTCCCGGGCTGGTCGGCAGCCCGCCTTCATTCACTGGATGGCGATTCCCAGGTCGAGATGCTCGTGGCTCGGAGGTGGCCGCTTACCTGCAAAAATGACCCTCGTCGGGCTATTCCCGACTTTGGCCCCTCCGACGAGCAAGTCAGTAGTTGTGTTTCTTTTCTCTCCCTTTTCTTCTCTCTCTGATAGGATGCCGGCCAAGAGCTTTTATATTATTGTACAAGGGTCGGTCGCATGCGAGTTCGGTGTGACGGCTGATCCTCGGGGGATGAGACGGTACTGTGCGGCCGCTGTCTCGGGACGCGCGGGACGACGTCAAACGGCGCCGCCCCAAGCTTCCGGGAAGGGACATGCCAAACAATGTCTCGGTACGGATTCTGACTTAGCGTGTGGGGGTGCTCCCCTTGCTGACCCGGCATCAGTACTGGATTCTGACTTAGCGTGTGAGGGTACTCCCCTTGCTGATCCGGCATCGATACAACATGACATCGATTGTGACGTGTCTTGAACCTAAAATATACATTATCAATGCTGTTGAATGTTTTTGACTTAATTTTGACGCCTCGTTGCTCATGCGAATCCGGCAGTAGAACAGCGAGAAGCTTTTACGAACTGTAAGCCTCGGGGGCATGGCGATAGGTCAAGGTCACCATGGAAGGTAAGAAGTCCATCTGAATGCTGCCAAACGTGTAACATGCATTCGAGACCTACCTGAAACCGATCCAAAGGAAGGTCAAGATAGTAGCTGCTAGTTTTAAAGGATTAAGCTACGTGGCTCATGCTCCCAAGTAGAATCTGAATGCTACAGAACAGTTTCCAGCTTCATGAACGTGGCTTGTTCCTCCTGGTTGGGTTGCAAGGACGGACAAACCCCACCATCTATTATTTTCAGCACTCCGAAGCGAAGAATGATATGAGCTTAGAGTTCAAATAGCACAAGATTAATTTTCTTCTTTGTCTTGATGGGAGACCCCGATTTAATGTCCCAAGCCACGCTATCGTTAATAAAGATTAGGTAGAGTTCATTTTGTCGGGCATATGATCCATTAGTTCGAACTCATAATAGACTTTGATAACCTATAACCCCTGTTAATATTAAAATCATAACTCTTTTAACTTAGACTTGTAGTAACTAGGATTGAAAAAGATGATCACGATTATGAATGTGGTTAAGAAAAAAAAGAAATCACATCAATGATAAGGTAGAAGAACAAGAGAATGAAAAAGAAAAAAAAAGATGAGGATAACATAGAGATCATTCTCAATCATCCAACAAGTGTTCTCATCTCAAGTTAGATCAGATTTATAATAGATTTTTACTATACTCACTCGAGGAGTTTTTTTTTTAATATTATATATCGTTATATAATTCTTATATTAATGTTATTCTTTTGTGATTGTTGTTTGGGTTTTCGATATAGACTTTAAGATTTATACGTTCATTATTTTTATAGTGGATTTCTTTATCTGATTTAACCCATGATTTTTACCATTTACGTTGAAGATATTTTTTTACATAAATCTTTGTATTCTATATTATTATGATTTTTATTTAATTTCATATTTGATGAACAATTATACCTAAATAAAACCTTCTACCGCAAACGATTCACACGCCTATTTACTGATGTGTTCTGATGCTTCTACCTCTCGCAACGGTGGTGAGTGCAGTTTGACAAGTTGGAAATGGCAGCTGCTCCATGCTGTCTAACTATTATCATTGAGATATATAAAAAAAAATTATTATATAAGACCACAACATAATTATTTAATCAGATGTACTACTTTCTCACTCTACATAACAATTACTTAATAAGATATACCATTTTCTTAGTCTACATGCAGACAAGAAAAGATGAAGATGATCAGGATGTGTAATGCATTACCGGCCATGCTAAGCCGTCGATCGATCGATCGATTGATCGCAGGGATCAACTGCTCTCGTACAAGCCTTGATATGGCTAGCCATCTGATGAGGGTAATAATGGCGATAAGACTCGGGTTGATGTCAGTTGCCCCAGATGACGCCTCAGTTGACCTGACATCGCTTGGTCAAACGGATTAGAACATCGACCGAGACACATTAAACATCCTGCTCAGGCTCGGTCCTTCACGCCACGCCAATACCAGTGTCAGACGCTACCAGGAGTACGAGTCTGCCCCCTGCAAGCGGGCATATCAGGAAACAGTACGAAGCCGAAGGTCCCCATTGGACGCGCAGGCGAAGAGTTTTTACCCGGAGGAAACGACGACCCCATCCTGATCGGACCACCGTAATCGGTCACCTTAGCAGTCTCGAAGAACATCCCAGGAAAATTCCCACCTTAGCAGTCTCGAGGAACATCCCAGGAAAATTCCCGTTATCCAGATCCGAATCAAGTCGCGTCGGTCCCAACACCACGGCTTAAGGTTGTTTCTACATGTGGCGACTTTACTTACGGTTTACTATGTTGGGTTTGTTAGTACTCATCGTTGAATCGACGCCATTCTATCCGGCTTTTCTTCTATCTCAAACAAACTGGAGCGCATCCTGTGACGACTTGCAAATTTTCCCACGTCACACAAAGATATGGCACCGAAACAGATTCTTTACTTGTGATGCACGACACGCTCCAACCGATAAATTGACTGGTCGTAAACAGTTTGGATAACACCAGCAGGACGAGCTGAGCCCTTCTATGATTGTGATTGTGATTGTGATTGCAACGTATCGATTAGCCCCAAATTAAAAGTTACTGAAAATTTTATATATTTTTTATAAAATATATTCTGCAATTAAGTATGATTGTGATTCTAAATTTGATTTGGATTGCGACAACTAAAATCAGAGGATGAATTTTTTTTTTTTAATCTGAGTTGGAAAGGGTGCAAACACTTTGCAACATCAACTATATACACAGTCGTCACTTCTACCCTATCTCCCCTCCTCTCTCTATTAAAGATTGTATGCCTAACTATGTCGATCATCTCCCTCCATACTGAATAGCCTCTTATTGTTCATGATCGATCATCTTTGCACGTGGGTTAATCCATCTTCCGCTCACCACCCTTGTCCCACCCTCTTCTATTACTCATGGTCCCCTCCTTTCTCGTTCTTTACAAATGTGATTGGGTTGATCTAGGTAACATATAGAGTAATCCAATAATGAAGATAGATAAGGATAGCATAGCCAACTCGTTGACCAACCATGAAGGCGGCAAGGGACATAATTATTATTTATGAAAAAAAAATTATGAGAATTTTTTAATGTTGAATGAAAATATTTAAAAATTATAAACTATTTAGAATCGAATTTTTTTACCTCATCTATAAAAAAAAATATATTTAATTAAATTTAAAATACTTAATATATACTTAATAAAATTGAAACAACAAGGAAATGAGTTTGATGTGAAAGGATACTGAGTACAAAACCTGGAACGAGAACACCGACAACATGTCTTCCCTTGATTCTATGTATCCGTGCAGATTAAACTCGTTCCGTGTTGTTTTAGATTTAGAGTCCACTTGCGTGCAGAACAGACGTCGAAGTTGATTGGAGAAGCCGGTGAGGAGCGCTTGCGGCAAAGGGCACAGCGTGGAGAGATCAACTGCATTGGGCATCGGTTTCCACGTTGCGACAGCGAGAAGCGGTCCACGGGCAGCTGGCCGATGCCACACCAGCACCCTGTGACACGCTGCGATGTCTTGTCCTCTTCTCGCTTCTCCCAACCACCATTGTTCTGTTCTATCTTTTTGTATAGTTCCCTCCCCACCCGTTCTCGAGCTGCTGCCACCACTCACTACATCTCTTGCCTCCCCTCTTGATCCCTCCATCGTCACCTCTTCCTGCTCCCCCCTGTCAGCCTTTTCCCATTTGATGCCGAGCTCTCACATCTCCTTTTGACCGCCCCCAAAGCTGACCATTCTCCATCCGTTGAATAGTAAACCTTGTCTTCGTCTCTCTCTGCTTTCCTGCGCCAGCGAGCCGCTGCCCGACGTTTCCACATCTCCAGAAGGTCATCCTTTAAGACTTCGATCATTCCGCCCGCTGTCCCGAACGCGGCTGCTTTTGCCGTTGCCAATTCCAGCCCGATTTCTTCTCGAATCGCAGTCTCCAAATCCTTCAATCCCTCTGCCGTGTCAAATCTGGAAACCTGGCTATAAAAGCCCGCGTCGCTATTGCATGGCTGGTAAAACCATGCAGAGCAGCTCTGCTGTGGCGGGCATAGCAATGTGACGTTGTTTCTACGGTGAACCAAGCGCGAATTGTAGTACCATCGACACCCCCAAGCCGTACTACTGCAGTGACGACGCACAAGAGCAGATGGATCGATTGATGGAGTGCTACTGGCTAGGCTGTGATCGCCTCGGGGATGCGCTCCGCCGGGCCGTCGTGGTTTCCGGCCCTTACCTCCTGTGCTCGGTCGCCTTCTTCCTGCTGTGGGAGCAGCTATCCTACCTCCGCAAGAAGGGCTCGCTCCCGGGGCCTCACTTTGTCGTTCCCTTCCTCGGCAGCGCCATTCCCATGATCATGAACCCGACGCAGTTCTGGGAGCGGCAGGCGGCGCTCGCCCGCGATTCCGGACTTGGCGTCTCCGCCAACTTCCTCGTCGGCCGCTTCATCGTATTCGTCCGCTCCACCGAGCTCTCCCGCAAGGTGTTCGCCAACGTCCGCCCCGACGCCTTCCACCTCATCGGCCACCCCTTTGGCAAGAAGCTCTTCGGCGAGCACAACCTCATCTACATGTTCGACCAGCGGCATAAGGACCTCCGCCGACGCATCGCCCCCAACTTCACCCCCCGCGCCCTCTCCACCTACATCGACATCCAGCAGGGCGTCATCCTCGCCCACCTACGCAAGTGGCTGGCCCTGGCCGCTTCTTCTCCTAAACCCATCGCGCTCCGGCTCCTTTGCAGGGACCTCAACCTCGAGACTTCACAGACCGTCTTCGCGGGGCCGCACCTCACTCCCGCCGCGCGCGAACAGTTCAACCGGGACTACAACCTCTTCAACGTGGGCCTCATGGCCATCCCATTTGACCTCCCAGGGTTCGCCTTCCGGCGGGCACGGCTGGCCGTCTCCCGCCTGATCCGTACCCTCTCCGGCTGCGTCGCCAGGAGCAAAGAGCGCATGCACGGCGGCAGCGAGCCGTGCTGCCTCGTCGACTTCTGGATGCAGGACACCTTGCGCGAGATCGCAGAGGCGGAGGCGGCGGGCGTTCCTCCGCCGCCTGAGACGGGGGACGCTGAGATCGGAGGTCACCTGTTCGACTTCCTCTTCGCGGCGCAGGACGCTTCCACCTCCTCCCTTCTGTGGGCGGTGGCGATGTTGGACGCCCACCCGGAGGTGCTCGCGCGGGTGCGGGCGGAGGTGGCGGCGCTATGGATGCCGGAGTCGGGCCGGGCCATCACGGCGGAGCAGGTGCGCGAAATGCGGTACACGGAGGCGGTGGCACGGGAGGTGGTGCGGTACCGGCCGCCGGCGACGATGGTGCCTCACATTGCCGGGGAGTCGTTCCCGCTGACGGAGTGGTACACGGTGCCCAAGGGGGCGATCGTGTTCCCGTCGGCGTACGAGTCGTCGTTCCAGGGGTTCACGGAGCCGGACCGGTTCGACCCGGACCGGTTCTCGGAGGAGCGGGCGGAGGACCGGGTCCACAAGCGCCACTTCCTGGCCTTCGGAGCGGGGGCGCACCAGTGCGTGGGCCAGCGCTACGCCATTAACCACCTCGTCCTCTTCATTGCGCTCTTCGCGTCGCTGGTGGACTTCAAGCGCCACCACACGGACGGCTGCGACGAGATCGCGTACGTGCCTACCATCGTGCCCAAGGACGATTGCACCGTCTACCTCTCCAGGCGGCTCGCTTCGTCGTGATCTCATCCGAGGCCCGAGCTGGGCCCGGGTGGGTGCTACCCGTTTCTTACTCCAGTGTGGTGTGTCCAAAGTGGGATACGGTCCATTTATTCCCTGGTCCTCCTCTTCTTCTTCTTCTTCTTCTTCTTGGTGAACAGAGGAGGAATGCGTCCGGCATTGTTGGGGGTCTGGTAATTTGGATAACGGAAGGTGCGGAACAAGAGGTGGTAAATACTGTGCGTCGTCGGTCTCCTCGGTCCTGGTCATCTGGTTTGGTGGGTCTATTAGCTTCCATATGCGTGTGTGCCACAGTACATGAAGGATTCCTGTGTACCAAGATTTCTTGTTGTTGCATATCTGGAAGGTTGAGGTACGCTATTTCATCCCAGGAAACTCGATGCATCTCTTAGGGAGTTCCTGTGTGCTTAACGGAGTGACGCGATCCACCGTTCCATAGTTGCACTTTCCCTGATGTTCCGGTTTAATTTCGATAAAAATTAAGATTGATTTAGAAGAATTCGATGGATGTATGGTGCTATATGTTCGACCAAATTAATAGAACATCACAGATGTAAACATGTCTGTCCAAACCAAACATTTCGATCTCGCTCTTCGACTCTAAATTAGATTACCTGCCGGTAGCTAACCCCGGTTATTCAGGCTTTGGTTTGCGGATTAGGCCGCCACCTATTCATGCCCACATCAGCAAAGCTTTGTGCACTTGGCATTGATCGAGTGGCAGAAATCTCAGTTGTCTTTGTCGAGAACAGATGTCATATATTTCCTCCACAAACCACAGCCATGACAAGAATGTTCAGAGCATTTTTGCGTTGTTTAGAATCGTGTACATGTATAGAATAACCTTTGCAAACGTGTGATAGTCAAATACAGAATAGTGAATGCCCTTTCGAAGCCCCGAGAGGCACAACCAGGCCCTGCCTACACCATCGGCAGAGGCTGAGGGCCGGGATCTCTGCGCAATTCCACCTTCTCGGCTGGCGCCGGTGGCTTGGCTTCGGCCCGGCACAGCGGGCACAGCGAGTGTGAGTGCAACCACATGTCGATGCACTCGACGTGGAAGGCATGTCTGCAGCCGGGCAGCAGCCTCACCATCTCCCCTTCCATCACCGGATTCAAGCAGACCGCACATTGGGTCGTGGGGCAGGTGTCTTTGCAATCCACATGGTGTGCGAAGGCCGGCAGCGCGTCGATGGCCAACTGGCTGAGACCGGCATCGAGAGGCTCGTCGCGTGTCGCAGCTCCGCCGGCGGACATGGCAAGAGCAGCCTGCGGCGGCCGATCGGCGCGGTTGCGGTGGCGACGGCATCTGCTGCATATGAGGCAGTAGAGGACGCAGACGATCATGCAGAGGCTGAAGATGATGCTGCCGCTGTTGTCTCGCAGGAACATCCCGGTGTTGGACATGCTGAATTAAGCACTGTGGAGATGGTGGAGATTAATGGAAAAACGATCCATTCCTGGCCAAATAAATCTTGAGAATTTATATTGCCCAGTTGATCCGGACACTATCAATATTCTCCCCACCGTTGACTTTGTTTTGACAACATCTAATGGGATCCTGGTGAGAAGAATTTACGGTAAAGGCTTAATGTTTATATCGAAATATAATATAAATTTATACAGATTTAAGAAATAATTTTTTTAATTATACACTTAAATGAGGTATATTCTGATTATTTAGTCTCAAATCATAAATTGATTGAAGATTAAAATATATAAGGAATGTAAAATTATCATTTTATATTTATCTTTGTCATAATATTTTATTATGCCCCAATAAAATTAAGCGAGAGGCTTTATAAGAAAGTCAGCTAGTTGTAATGTAGTTAACATCGGACAATTTGATATTTGAAAATGGATGATAATATATTTCATATCAGAGTAACACCAATATTATCATAATATATTATAGGAGTGGATGATGAAGTGATACTAAATCCGTGCAGTAGATTGGTGGCCTAATTGAGTTATACAGTGGTAAAGGTGATGGCTTAGTATTTAGCTTTAGTGGTAGATTTTGCCATTGTGTTTTGTTTCTTGAAACTCCAATTGATCAAGTTTCTTCTAAGGAAGATGATGTAAGCTGATATAGATATTCTATCATCAGTATTATTAACCCAATTAGCATCGACGAAGGCATGGAGGTGAAAGGATGAGTGTTTACAAAGAAAAAGTCCATGATAGAGTTCTTTTACGATATCACAGAATACATTGTAGTGTAGACTAATGCACAATGGAGGGACGATGCATGAATTATGATTATTTATTAACTGCAAATGAAATGTTTGGATGTGTAAGAGCTAAATACTATAAGGAACCAAGTACTTATCAGTAATGTGTACGATCCATAGTAGGACTATCATCGTATAACTCAAGTAACTCAACGAAGGAGAGAGAGTGGGGCGATAACTTCTTTGGCATTTTTGTATATTTATATTTGATAATAAATCTCGAATGTACTTTTTTAAAGATGATAAAATTTTAGAAAATATAAACATTGCTTCCACTCCTAAAAAAATGACTTAAGGTCCTTAGGTCTTCGATGAAAACTTGATTGACTAATTATTTAAGAAATTACTTGATCTCCGTAGAATTATTGTTTGGGATGATAAAATCATTCATATAAATCAATAGATATATAGTATATCCCTTTTGTTAGTGTAGGAATAAGGAGTTGACAAATTTAGAGTTGACAAGGTCAATTAACATAAAAAATGAGCTAAGTTGGATTTACAAATGCTCTTGGAGCTTAACAACATTCATAAATAAATTTTCATAGTCTACAAACATTATTTAGATATTGAGAGATAAAGTCAAAGGGTTATTATATAAAGGCATCTTTAGTTAATATCTCTTATAAAAAATATTTTTAACATCTAGTTAGCATATATGCCAGAGTGATACTAAACTTAAGATGAGTCAAATTATTATCAATTTAACAATTGAACTAAATGTCCTTGTGAAATAAAAGCCTAATTATTGGTGAAACCCTTTGACCACTAGATGTGGTTGGCTATATATCCATCTACGTTTCGTTTAATTCAAAAGACTCATTTATACTCGATGATATTTTGTGTAAGGTGAGATAAGATATGAGTTGATGTGATATTATGGAGTAGGACATTATATTCTTAACATATGACTTTGTGCTAGTATAGAGAATTTTGGGTTTGAGTGATATTTACAGGTTTAGTAGGATCAAGTGGAGATGTTATGGTAGTGTGAAGATCAAAGATTTAGCATAATTTGAAGATGTCATTTTGGAGTGTATTATCGTATGATATTTAGTTTCAATGATATTATTGAGTTCTGTTGATGGTATGAGAATTGGTGAAGACTTACTTGTATGTACCTTATCAAGCTGATATACTTTGGTGTCATTTGGTCGAGAAAAAAACAAAGACATCATTTTTTATGCCGAGAGCATTAATTTATCTAGCATTACAAAGTGAGTTGAGGGAGAGATAAATGAAGAAGTTGTAAAAGGGGTTTGAGGTCTACTCATATGTATTGAGTGATAAATGATTATTATAATGACTCGCATTACCAAAGGAGCAAAATTTTAAATAGAAAAAGTGATTTCAACAAAAATAACATGACGTGCTATAAAAATATTTTAAGTTTGAAAATCAAAGCGCCCAAAGCATTATTACCAAGATTCATGATTTTAATCTTGGTCTTAACTTATGGAAATCATAAGGGCATAACATAAATAACTAAATGCTTTAAGTTTTCAAAGGTTTAAGATTTTATAAAAGTCTTTTAAATAATGATTAGCATTATAGAATTAGGATGAACGGTTAATGAGGTAGATTATAGTTTAAATGGTTACTAATTAAAAAGTTAGTGACATGAAGGCTTAGTGCAGAGGATGAGATTAGTTTCAATTATATGTTGGTGCTTTTATTCAATAAAGCCAATTAGTTGAGATTTATATAGCAGTGACTTAATGTTGTATCCCACATGATGATAGATAAGTTGTTAGAGTTTGATATTCGAGTTTTCCATCAGAGTAAATTATTTTAATGGTACATTGAAAGAAATTCTCGATCATTTTTCTAAAATTAGTAAAGACTATAGTAACTTTATAATTTATATTTGAGAGAATAGAGTCATATATTTTTAGCGAAGTAATATACGAAAATAATATAAAACTAAAATTATCAAAGAAAGTGATTGATGTAGGACCTTAGATGTTAGTGTAAATGATTTTAAGTGGTTAGTGTAAAATATGAAAAATATTTCAAAAGATAGTTTGTGACTTTTTTTACTAAGGTAAGTATCAAGTAGCATTCCTATTTGATTTGAAAGTTGAAAGGGAGTAACAAAAAACTAGCTATTATTGAATAAAAGATGACGAATGATCAAAATAATAATATCACACATCGATTGAAGCACTAACTAAAGCAAGAATGATTAGTTGAAAGATTTGTGAAGCTGATGACTGCTCATATATATTGTCTTTATTCTAATCTCGGGCTAAAGATGTTTTCATGATTAGATTTTTAAAAAATTAAGTTATGAAAGAACTCAATAAAAGTATTATTTAGTTTACTGTATTGAAAGACAAAAGTAAGATTCCTTCTTAAGATGCATATAAAACATCATCGAGTTTAAAAGTATTTGTGTGAATTAAGTATTATAGAATCAGTATAAGTGATAGAGATTCCATTATCATTACCAATGATGAAGTCTTCATTGTCTCCATAGTCGATATGATTGGATAAATTCTATATATCATAAGTAGTATGATAGGAAGTACCATAGTCAATAATCTAATTGCTTGAATGAGCAATTAAAGTGATTATGATGTTTGCTTTAGGCTAGTTGGGTGTGATAGTTGCTTGGGTTGAAATCGATAAATTTTTATTATGTATCCAATTTTATCACAGATAAATTTTTGTTGATTATTATTATTAAGACATTAAGACTACTGATAGTTGTAATGATTATTGTTGAAGTTATTTCTTAAATTGTTTAGTTGAAATTTCTATAATAATCGAAGAGTTGATAATATAACGAAGGATGATAGCTTTATATGTTATCCATGTGTTTAGAATAATGTTGTCATGTGTCCAGAATAATAACGAGTGTGTTACCCATGTGGACGCTGCGTAGAATAACATCACTAAATCATGTAGAGAGATGCTAACGAGCAAAAAGGAGGAAGTTGTGATGTCGTCAATAGAAAGGGAGGAATAGATGATGCTATGATATGATCTAACACACGATGAAGGAGAAGAGATATGAGCAAATCATCAGCTTAGATCAACATTATATAATTGTTGAGGTAGCTTTGCATTGATAAATACGCTATGGTGGGAGAAGACTATCGATGGAGAGCCACCTGCCGAGGAAGAAGTGGAAACACCCGTGTAGGATCAGTGATATAACAAAATTGAAATCCAAATTAGTAGAGAAAGAGATATTGCTATTGTTAAACAACGAGAAAGGAAAAATCTTGCACAGGATGAGAGGAGCTTTGATATCATGAAGAATTTGTCATAAAGGTTTGATGATTTCATTCATTGAGGTAATATATATTTATATAGATTTAAGGATGAGATTTTTCTCAATCATACATATATATATATTCTAATAATTGATTATCAAATCATAGATTGATTGAGAATCAGAGCAAATATAAATTTATCATTTCATATTTATCTTTATCATGATCTTCTTATTAATTGAAATGTTCTCTTGTTATATATAAAATATCTTTAAAAATATTTATGAAAGTTTATGATATTCCATTTCTTTAAGTTTGGTGTTGGAAAATAAATTACCTTTTTATAATTGAAAAGAAGTTCTATACATATATGCTTAAAAAGAGTGCTCAAAAAGAGAAATTAAACGTGAAAGAAAATATATAGTTTTAAGGATCTTTCAATGATTATGAAGATTTGGCACATTGAATAATTTTTACTTTATGTTTCCATTTTAATTTTTATTTTAATCCATTAAATTTATTATAATTATAAAAAAAAGATAAATTACTAAGTACCAAATTCAAATCAAAACCTAGCGATAAACTATTAAAATCTTTTACCCGCTAAGTGAGTTGAGACTTCAAAACAATCCTTACTTATGAAACAGTAATTAGTTTATAAAATATTAAGAATAAGAATCATAATAACAAAGACAAACCATTTTTACTTCCTCAATTAATGGCTTTATTTTTTCACTAAAATAACAACAAATAATAAAGACAGAACACAACATATTCACAAATTACTCTCCAAGTCTGGCATTCCATTTCCCTGCAGTTGCAGTTGCGGCCTTCTCCCAGACCGCACCCCTTGCAACAACGACGACGATGATCCCAAGGCCTCCTCCTTGGCACCCGACGTCTCTGCTGTCGTCTTCCCTGATGAGGCAGCACTTCCATGCACCTCGAGCGTCATCGCTTCCATCCTCTCCTCCGAGTTCGCCTTCTCCGACATCCTTTCTGGCCTGGCATCGGCCCTGCAGACCGGGCAAGTGGAGTTGGAGAGTAACCACACGTCGATGCACTCGGCATGAAACAAGTGCTGACAAGCCGACAGCTGCCTCACCGTCTCCCCTTCCTCCACCATGCTCAGGCACACCGCGCACTCCACC